AAAACCAGATGCATGAAATCAGTGCTTGCTTGACTGCCCTCCTCACCATCACTACACTATAAGTAAAACGCCCCCAAGAGCAGAAACGGTGCACGATGCATTTTAAAACAAATGGGAATTCAGTCCTTGGCTTAAATGGCTGACAGTATAAGATTAAGTCCAATTCCTATTACTTTAATATCGTCCCCCTGGCTCCTCCTGAACTGCTTTGGTGTGTATGTGCTGCACAAACAGAACTAAACTACTGGAACTGATTATATACATATATCTGTCTCTGGAAGATTCTTTATGTAAATCCCCCAAGTAATCTGTCTCCCAAATTTGCAGCAAACTGATTGCAACGACAAGCAAAATGATTAAACGGCTTCTGCTAGACACAGGATTACTTCTGCAGCTGTTTAGCTACGCTGTGAAGTTCTGCCCTTTTAAAGAGCTGTTAAAACTGTTAGTTTTGGTTTATAGCTTCAATAAATCAGTCCACTGAATGGTTGTTTTTGTTAGGGGGGTTAAATTGGCCTTGGCTTCATTTCAGGTTATTTAAGTTAGCAGCAAGCAGAGCATTAACTGGTCATGATCAGGGATGAGGAATTTTGTTTACAGCTAATGAACTGAATTTAATAGGGACCGCTGCCTGGGCTTATGAATAAAGCACTGCTATGGCGCTGTATGGGGTCACTGCAGCAAGGAAAAGAAGAAAAAGGCATTTAAAAGACTGGTCGACAGGTCACAGCGCAAGAGACATGAAGAACCCATTATGGCTCAAAGGATTCCTTTTAGTACTGATACATGACATTAATATGGAAATTAGAATGATAATTCCTATTTAACATGAATGATCCAGTAGATAAGTGTTTTTTTCATATAGCTGTGAACAGGTTTGTCATTTTCTCCAGAGGGTTGTTATTAACTAGATTCTGATGTCTGGCACCTTTGGAAAGCTCTTGGCTGTACATATATGCATATTTTAGCAGCCACAAGTAAATACCAAATAAGATCATAAGCTTTCTTCCCATCTGTTCTCTGCATACTCAAGATTTTAAGGGAACCAGATAGTGCACAGCATATTACCATAGTATAAATAATTTATAAAATCTCTTATCCAGTACATTCGCCACTGTGACCAGTCCCACCACATATACTCTCTTCCCACCACAAACTAATAGACAACTTTGTCCTGCTCCCACATCATATACTGAATAAAGCTCCAACTAGAGATTACCTTATAGTCAACTGTACAATACAGTTTAGATGAGTCACAACAGATCCTTGAGTAGATTTCTCAGTATCATTATCAGAAAGCAGGTTAAAACTTGAAACTTATTTAGACTGGATACCCAGCACCAGAACAGGAGAGATTAACCCTATCACCAATAGAAATCCTGTCCTAAAGCTTCTATTAGCTCCAGCTGGAAAATACCTTCCTTCTCCCCCACCCCTGAATTTGTAGCGGTGGAGTAGAGGATTTCTATTGGGGAAGCAATGTGGGCCAAAAATGTTGAACAAAACCCAGCCTTCACATCACAGACCTGATCTAAAATTCTTACCCTCTACCCCATGACTACTTTAAAATAAGATTAAAGACACTGGAAGATCTGATCGCAGATCTCATAGTGCCTGATCTAGTTCTGCCTACAGCCAAAAATGCAGCAAAAGATGACTCAGTTTCCCAAACTGCCACACATTCTCAATCCATGCCATTCACCTTTAGAAACAGACTTAAGCAAGATTTCACAAATCTCTGAACTTCTACTCTTCAGCCTCCTAAATTCAGTATGAGGTTTTCCCACAAGATAATTTGAATGGAACAGGGGCATGCTATGTCCATTCACATCAACAAGGATATTCTGGTAGTTTATAAACTGCTTATTTTCCCACGCATGCATGTTCCAACAATACTCCTTCCTGACCTCAAAATATAATCAAAAGTTATTTTTAAATGAAATTGTTCCAGCTCTCTTAATTGAAACATAACTTGAGAAACCTACTGAAGCACAGCTGTAAAGCATAATACAGACTGATACTAGCAAACAATCTATACTCTTTCAAAGCTCTATCAGTATGTCCTTTGTTATCCCTAGGATGACCAACTTTTCATACCACTATAGAACTTTACAGGAGGGATATACTTGGAGACTTCGAAAAAGAAACAGGAACTTTGGCAAAATACGTACAAATATAAGCTATTCTGCCGGTCCGATCTGACCCAATCTTGCTACCCAATCTATATTTCCTCTTCTAGGGACATGTTCTTAGCAGTAAACAAGACAGTCCAGTAGACAGGTTGACCATAAGCCCAGGATTTTTAGTGAGGGAAATTTAAAATTAATAGTTCGTTAGCTGTATTATTAATCATCCAGGCTTTTTTACACTGTATCCCAGATGTCAAGAACTTCATCATGAGCTCATAACGATATTTTCAGCCAAGCAATCTCTACCCGCATTCTGGTAGTAAAGAAAGAAGAAGAAGAAGAAGAAGAAGAAGAAGAAGAAGAAGAAGAAGAAGAAGAAGAAGAAGAAGAAGAAGAAGAAGAAGAAGAAGAAGAAGAAAATTGGATTTATACCCCGCCCTTCACTTGAAGTCTGAGCGGCTTACAAACTTCTTTCCCTTCCCCTCCCCACAACAGACACCCTGTGAGGTGGGTGGGGCTGAGAGAACTCTGACATAAACTGCTCTTTTTCAAGGACAGCTGTGCCAGAGCTTGTGACTGACCCAAGGTCACATCAGCAGGTGCAAGTGGAGGAGTGGGGAATCAAACCAGGTTCTCCCAGATTAGAGTCTGCACACTTAACCACTACACCAAACTGGCTCTCAAGACACTGAGCCACATGGTATATCTCAATTATAAGCTTTACAAGCATTCCTATAGCACCCATCACAAGATAGTCACATGCAGTAGTTGATTAAAAGTTTGCAGTGTGGTACTTATACTACATTGGGAAGCAGTGTAACCACAATTTAATAGTATCAACCCTCTCCTTTCCCATAATCCCAAAAGGTTATGGAAAAGCCCTATCTCTATCCAAGAGTGTCTTATTTTTTTTAAGCTGGCACTCCCATTTGTCTTGAGAGGAGTGACTCACATTGGCCAATTTGTACATGGTTTACACCTTCTCATGAGTGAATAATACAAATGTGTCTGAGCCGCAATGAAAATACATGCCCACATAGCACAATGTCAGCTGCCTCAGATGGTTGGAGAAGGATGCAGTATGGCCATACAAGTTTCTTTGTTGTTGTTTTGTGAGTTTTATCTACAGTCTGCAAATCTATCAGTGAACCAAAAAAAAAAGGACAAAGAAAGCCACATGACAAAAATCATGATTATACTGAGAGCTTTGCCTCCCTATCTAGTTGATATTCTGAAATAGCACTGATTTCCATGTTTCATTGCAGAGAACAATGGGAATATGAATGCCTGTACTGAAGAGATACACACATTACCATCTGCTCCTAACCTGTTTACACATGCAGTGTATGCAATAAAGGGCACAGCAATCTGAATAACCCAAACTACAAAGAATTGCTGCAAAACGTTCACAAATTCACAAAAACATGACAGTAATATGTAGACATTTTCATGATGTTTAAATTCCAAATGTCTTCTTTATTCCACAGATCAACAAATGACGAACATCTCGAGTTTCCAGAGTTCGTTTCGTGGTCTTTATCAACTGTTTTGCTGAATTTTTCAAAGCAATCCACTATTAGGAATCTCAATTTCAGAATGGCTATAAATAGCTCTTAAGTTAACCGACAATACTTGTCCGTTGAAAAAGTATTGTTGGTTAACTTAAGAGCTATTTATAGCCATTCTGAAATTGAGATTCCTAATAGTGGATTGCTTTGAAAAATTCAGCAAAACAGTTGATAAAGACCACGAAACGAACTCTGGAAACTCGAGATGTTCGTCATTTGTTGATCTGTGGAATAAAGAAGACATTT